GATTTGTAAATGTTACTTTTCTTCCTTGGAGTGGTAAATCGTAGCTTAGGGCGCTGTCTGGAATCACAAAGTTATTAGGTAGGTACCTAACAAAGCTTAGAATCAAATCGGTAATTTGCTGCACAAAAAGAGTGGTGAGTCCATCTTGAACCCTCGCAAAGATCATTCGTGTTGGGGAGATTTAGAGGGCTGTGAAACTAAGTCAAGTGTTTTTTTATCCAATATAAAAGTTTTCTTTACCTACTATTTCAATAAAGTTCTGTAGAATTTTATTACTTGCCTACTGAAACTCCGTTATGTTCGAATGTTTCAAAGATAAGAAGGAAAATGGATTCAATATATGAGGCACCTCCTAAAACAAAACATAAAAACAAACATAAAATTCTACTTTCCTCAAGGCTAAGAATTTGACACACAAAAAACGATAGGATTAGAAAATAGTAATGTTCTGTTTAGCTTGATTTACTTGAATATTGTGAATACTCTTATTCAGGTTAACCGATCGATTATAATATACCTACATATATAGATCTTTTTCGATTCTCTTTGCTATGTCATTGTTGTCTTACTTACAACTCAAACTATCTGGAGGAAATTATTTCAGATAATTTCTTATACTAATCCATATCTAGGTACTATATGCATATCAAATTAAACAGAATAGGTCTATTCATGTTCTTTAAATCCTGAAACTGAAATTGAACAACGTGTTACTGAATTACCTAGTAGAAGCTACAACTTCAGATAATTGAAAATTTTTTTTCATATTTTCATACTTCAGAAAATAAGTTACTAACATTTTAATTGAGTTTTGTCTACTGCCCATGAAAATTCAATTAATCAGTCTAGTTAAAATACAGGAATTTCTTTCTCAAACTTCAAAAGTTTGAAGGTGAAATTTGTTTTATTTTTCACATTTTGCTGAACTTAGATAAAAATGTTTCTTGCGACCTAACTTCGAAATATAAACTTTGGCATTATCTCCCGTTATAAGTTGGATGAGTTGAAATTTACTTGTATATTTGTTAAAATTTTCCGCAGACATGAAAACTTAAGGGTCGTTACTTATTTTCTTTTCTTTGAAGACATTTCGTTCCTATTGCAGCTAGAGGTTGAGTAATCGTATGTTTTTCGGTCATTCTGATTTTCAAGGAAAATGTTATTCAGCAGATATACTGCAATAAAAAATTCGTATAATATTTGATTAACCTGTGCTGATTCATCAGAAAGAAATTTGAGAGATACGTATCATAAACCAACATCCATAGCTAATAACCCCTTAGCTGAATATTTAAGTTTGGTATATGATACATCTTAGAACAACAATTCAAGTAATGTGAACCATTCAGATGGTCATGACGCGATATGTATCATTTCAATAACTTCAAATCAAATCATTATTGCCATAAAAAACCCTCTAATAAACTTACGTCCTGATGATATACGAAGTTTTTTTGTGAAATATTGTTTTATGCACTTAAGAATCCATTAACACATAGGTATATTTAATCTCATAATAAGCAAAACAACTCTTCGTAAAATATAGAAATCGGCAAATATAGTACCTGTCTTGAAAAAAGTTGATCCTTATGTCGTAAAAAACAACAGGCCAATATCCACCGTTTCAAACGTTTCCAAACTTTTGAAATTGTAGTCTATAATGCTAGATATCCAGCCGTCAGAAACATTCGACTCACCGTCAGAAGTACTCGACTTCACCGGCCAAGTTGATGTGATTTACACAGATTTTCAGAAAGCATTTTCTAGAGTTGCTCATGGTACACAAGTTATGCAACAAATTTGGATTCTGTAATAGCCTCACCAATCCTTTTCTTTCTTACCTGGTTGACCGTCATCAATTTGTACAGCTGGAGGGTATACAGTCGTCTGAGTTCATACCTACCTCTGGAATAACTCAAGGGTCTAATCTTGGACCACTGTTATTTATTCTTTTCGTGAATGATCTGATGGATAATATTCACTCACTACATTTGATGTTCGCAGACGATTTGAAACTATATCATGAAATTAGATCACAGGACAACTGTGTTCAACGTCAGCTCGCGCTGGATCATGTTGCTGGTTGGTGTGAGGGCAATTATTTGAGTTTGAATGTGTCAAAATGTAATGTGGTCGCTTTTATAAGGAAAAGAAACCGAATTGACTGTGATTATAGCGTCGGTGTCAGGTTCTTTCTATTTCTGATAAGGTGAGAGATCTTGGTGTAGTCTTCGACCAGAAGCTTTCCTTTGTCCCACACAGCACCCAACTTATTTCATCTGACTAGAAAATATATGGATTCGTTATACGCAATGGCAAATATTTTTATAATCTCATAATCTCTCAACCTTCATAGTACTACTTAATACCCTAATCCGTAGCAAGCTGGAGTATGGCAGTATGATATGGCATTCTATTTACACTTGCCATCAACGCCATCTTGAGGGTATTCAGAGAAGGTTCTTGAAATTCTTAGTTTGGAGGGAGGATAAAGTTTATCCACAGAGAGGAGTCAATCATAACGAATTATTGAGTCGATTTAGTTTAATATCATTGCAGAGCAGGAGCCAAACTTTATCACTCAACTTTTTGTACAAATTACTGCACAATAGTATTGATTGTCCTCTTATCTTGTTCGATTTGAGATATCGTGTTCCTAGACAAAATTCTCGTAATACTGAATTATTCCACCTAGAGACTCCGAGGACCAACTCCCTAATACAATTTGCCATTTGGTTTATGGAGTCTACATTCAATAGAGTTACCAATAATTGTAACATTCACTTTGACTCCATAGAAGTTATTATTAGTAGTTATGTGAACAAAGAAGATTGAGTAAAATGAATTGATTTAAATTGAGTTCTTTGTGATAATTCATTGATTGCTATAATATAGTTACTAGTTACTATTTTTTTAGATTAGATTGCGCTTTCTTATATCTTTTTCATTTCAATTATTTAGTAAGTGTTCAACATTGTATTATTATTTTCTATAATTGGTTACTATGCCTGTTGGGAATAGAAAACTTATTATTTTTATTAGAGAAGATAATTGTATTGTGCGATATTACAAACAGGGAACCATAGTTCAAATGAAAATGACAGTTTAGATCTATATTAGATACAGTCTGTATCTAAACTGGGGGCTCCCAAAATGTAGTACAATTGTCAAAAAACGTTTTACTCGCATAAGCGTTGACTTCAAAAACTGTAGTCTTGCAGTTGTAGTGTGACATACAATTCGTAAAAACAATCTTTTTAGGTCTATCATTGGCTCAATTTGACCTCAGTGACGCATTCCATTTCAAGATATTGAAGTAATGAACAATGGACACAATGTGGAACACACCCTAAATATATATTTTCTCCAACTAAATACTTCTAGAAAATTCACGAAAATGTGAACACAAATGCAACCATGTGTGTCTTGTTGCTGTAATACTATCTGGATACTGAATGTTCTCTTGATACTCTTAAAACGTTACTTAAATATTTCATGTTCTATGCTTCTATGTAATTTTCATAACACCTGATAATTCGAGATGGATTTATCGACGGGACAATTCGTGAGATTGTCATAATTATGGAAAATACTTTATAAACTCTGAAGTTTCAATGAAATGAAATATTTCCTTATTAAATTCAGTTGATTGCTAACTTAGGATACACCTTCATGGAAGGTTTATTTAAACCCAATGCCGATTTAAGACGGTTGGGACTCAAATTTGAATGTAATAGTAATGTAAGATGTAATATTGTGGAAATAGATAAGCTCACCTTCGGTATGGTATCTTGGGTGTATCCTCCTCAGTTTTATGAATATATTATTAAATTAATGATATATTATTTGAGTTGATTACGACTAACGAAATGAAGCATCACGAAAAACTTGCAAAGCAACAATATTTTGTTTATTGTATTTATATTTTGCATTAGTCTGCACGTAGCCTTCGAAAAAGGTGAATATCATCGAAACGTACGTCATGCAGTATTCTTTTTAATATATGTGTAAATCTTTGTTTAACAATTGTTTTATTATGTTTATCGATTTACATCAAGTATCGGCCTCATCAGTTATTAATATTTTGTTTTCGTGGAATGATAATTTTTGTTTAAAATGTTCATTAAAAATTCGAAGGCTTTATTTGATATGGAGAGTCAATTCATTGATTATCCTACTGAAAGATCTTCAGCGAAATAATTGTCTTTTTTACTATTAGATCAATTGAGTTTCGTTAGATTCAAAATAGGCTATCATCATATAGATTCTTTGAAGTTTGAGTAAACATGAAATATCTTCAGGCAGTTATCGAAAGCCGATGTATAATTTGGGAATGTAAAACTTTTAAATTTCCATGGACTCTATGTATGAAATTTTTTATGGAAAATTATGAATTTAGATATAAATGCGTTTACAAAGACGCTATTCTTCATAGTCTACAGGAAGTTCCATTTTACATCTAAATACTCTTTTGTTGATATTACAACTGAAGCGCCTTCATGAAATCATTTGCATGAATTAAATCGTATTTATTCTAATATTATTCTTGGAGAATATAAAAATCCCAGTATCATCTGTAAGAACATTGTTTTAAACAGTAGGAACGCGGCAGGGGTCGCCAGTATTTCACGTTTAATTATTCCAAATGATAAAAAAATGAAAATATTTTAGCTCCAGCTGTCACCAGGGTGCCGGTTGGTAGTGCCATGACACAAATTATACGAGTATATAACCACTGAAATTGTCAAAAACGTTAGAATTATAACGACAAGAAACGAGCATTAGAGAAACATTTAGTTCAGGTAAATTTGAATGATATAAAAGCACACGTAAAAGGTGAATTATTATATAATGGTAGTTTCTATCATGTTGAATTTTTGGTATTCTCTGCTGTATCAACTGTAAAAAGAACAGCTTCACTCAGTTTGAGAAAAAGTCCCAAACTTATTCCACTCAATTAATTAATTATTTATTATTATGTGGATAAGTTTGATTTTTCGGTCTTTGTGGCTTAGTCGGGCGAACACCCGACTATGGTGCGGTAGAACTCGGGTTCTAGCCCCGGTGAAGGCATGAGTGTATGTGTTTATTTATGATTTAGTAGTTTAATTATGATAACTGTTGGGTAATGTACATTGAATACAAAGCAATTGGCCGTTCGGGAACGGCGTTAAACTGTAGGTCCACTGAATATAAAAAACCTTGAATTTAATTTTTTAAATTCATATAACATGTTCACAAAACACTTTAATAATTAGAGTAAATAATAAAAGGTGGAAACTTGTAATGAATAATTTTTAATTACGAGAAATTCAATTATTTATGCGACACCTGTTAATCAAATGGAAAAATATCGGTGTATCTTCGAAAAATGCTTTATTATCACAGGTTCTGTTGAAAATTTATATTTTCTGTAATGAAGATAAAATTGCGAATGTAATTAGGAAAGAATGCCTCAATTGTGCATTTCTATTTCTATATTTTAGATAACTGCTGGTTCCTAACCCTTCTGGCGCAATATACTTTCGAAAAGAATTCAATGAAAATCAAAATAGGATTTTCCAGACAGAGAAAAAATATATTTGGGGATGAATCGACCTAAGAGACCTATTTGAATGTTCGAAGTATGTATTTCAATGGAAACATTTTCCATTGTTATTTGAAAATACCTGAATATGAGAAAAACTCACTATTTTCCAGATTTGTCTACTTGAATAGCCCAAGATGTTGTATTTTTGTATTTGTCAGTGTTCTTGTTAAATCTTTTTGTGACATCTCGTAGGTACATTTTTAGGCCCCCATATTCTTGCAGAATATGGGGGCCATCTTCTTAAGCACAACTGAATTATGCACTGCTGAATTTGGCTAAAAGATACCAAAAAAAATTTATAAGCTCGGGAAGTCATCAGAGCTTAAAAATTTCGAACTTCATCAAGTGGTTTCTGAATATAATTTTCCGTGATTCTGCACGGTAAAATTAAAATATTGAAAAAAAGTTAATATATTCAAAACAATTTCGACAAAAAAATATATCAAGCAATGAACCCTATTTTGTCAATGTTCCATTTCCTAATTTTGAGTTAAAAAGGGGTTTGAAATGCTTTATTTGCCCAGTTACTGCAGAAAATATTTAAATTTTATCTGCAAACATTGGAAAAATGGGAAGTCTAGTTAAATTTGATACTATGTGTGGTGAGTTAATGTATTTTCGTGTATTTCCATAATATCGACAGTACAAAACACCGTACTGAATACATAGGTAATAGGATATCGAAATTTCAAAAAATGGTTGAAATGTTTTTTGCTGTTATGGTTCCATCTGAAATTTAAATCATGTTGAAACCCCGTAATTTCAATCAATTGAAAATACTAGGTAACGAAACACAAATGCTGATAAAAATCGCTCTCCACTAGAAATGTTGAAAATTTGGATATTTCCTTTCAGAATGACCGCTTTCTGACTGTTTACTTAATAGCCGGCTTGTTGTTGTTTATAAAATGACTTGTGTTTCATGGTTTTTGCAGACAACATTATTGAAAACAAGCTCACAGTAAATATAACATTTCACATTGTTTGAAAAGGAATTTAGTGCAGAATTTCAACAAAATATTATGCACGCAATATATAAGTTTTCGATCAATAAAAAAATCTTCTACACTCAAAAAACAATCAATCTAGAAAAAAATCTAATTTTCTTGATACCTTTCCATTTTCTGAATAATTATAATCATTCAATTCTGTACCACATACGGGGGCCTAAAATGTACCTACGAAGTGTCAAAAGAAGATTTAACAAAAATCAACATACTTGGCTATTGAAGCAGACAAATCTTTTTTTGATATGAAAAACTTTATTTTTGTTGACGTTTCGTTGTTATATTACAATCAAAACTAATTAATTATATAGTTTTATATCAACAAAAATTGAGAAATAAATAATATATATATATATATATATATATATATATATATATATATATATATATATATATATATAAACTGACAAGATATATATAAACATATATTTTTAATGTTTTTAGCAATAACAGGCTATTCTCGATATTGAAAACTTTATTTTCTTTGTCGTTTCGTTGTATATCACAACTTTGTCAGAACTAATTTATTAATTTATAATTTTCTTTGTTTGAAATTTTCTCCCGCATCGAATATTATTCATATATTGTATAATTTTTCGGCAATTTCAAAGGATAAATAGTCGCCTCACGGACGAAGTAGTTTTTTCAAATCTCCCAACCTGGAGATTAAAAACGCAGTAGCCTAAAATGTGTCGACTTCAGTGCAGTGTCTGTTTCTTTCTTGTATTTCCTTCTTCAGGTTCGTACAACTTCAACTTGGCTACGCTGTTCTGAGGAGAGCCAATAAGCTCGAAAACGTATCAACGGCTGCTACTAATAGCGGGATATGCCGACAGTGTCCACTTTTGATTTATATATATGACATGGTTTTATTCTCGAATAATGAATAAAACTCACAGGTTTCTCTGAAAATCAACAAAGACTGCATTCAACAGTATTATTAGCTGAATTATTAAAAACCACCTGCAAATCTACAAAGAACCAACATTTCGAAATTCTTTTATTTGTTTTATATGCGAATAATCCATGAATTTCAAAAACCAATCCGAAAATTCAAATTTACGTCAAAGCCGTCAATCATGTTAATTATCAATTATTATATCAACTCTCTCCTGTCTAGAGAAAATGCATATGCTTCTATCCTATAACTATGGAAAAAAGAGTTGTCCCATTTTGTAGCATGGTATTTCATTTCACAGCATAAGGAGAATACGTCTGCAACTTCATTATGAGATTAACGAATATTCTGTGGGCACTGATTGATGACCACAAAGGGGCTCAAGGATGATTTGATTAAAAGTGATACGATTAGCGACATGGTTTCCATCTCATTTTCTCGCTCATCCCAAGGGTGTCATATCAGTATGGGGAAACTGAAAAATGTTCGAGCAAGAACGTTCATTAGTTTCATTCATTCGACATGAATTTTTCTGACGTGATGCGTATTGAGAAATTATCTTTCTTTATACAATTCGAACATATTCGTTGAAAAATAATGAGAACAGAAAAATTCGTATCTTGAATATTATATAAGTGTTTATTATAAAGTTGATTGAATGTTCGCTGATCTCTTGGTGGAACACTTTTTGATATATTGAATAAAAACCACTAGTTAGTTAAGTATTCATTATAAATTTTGTGAATCCAAGCTAAGTGTTTTTTATTTAATATAATGGATGATTTTTTGAGCGTAGTTTTTTTTGAATCGACTAAAACACTCAATCTGCATCATGTACTCAAAATTTTTATTGAAATTGATAACTTGGCGTTTGCCATTCACATTTTAAAGATAACTTCATGTAAATGTTGTCCGTGCTTCGTATAAAATGGTCCATCCGGAATATCCAATTTTGTGTCTTTTTTCGAGCATTTCGTCCTGTATTCCACGAATTATGCGTGCTAGGCTATCCTGTAAGGCTTCAATCGTATTCGGCCTGTCCACATACACTAACGACTTTACATAACCCCACAAGAAATAATCCAGAGGCGCCAAATCGCATGATCTTGGCGGCAAATTCACAGGGCAATTTCAAGAGATCAGGTGCTCATCAAATTCATCCTTCAACACGTCCATTGTTTCACGAGCTGTGTGCCATGTGGCACCTTCTTTGAAGAAAAATGAACCGATGATGCCATGAGCCCATAAACCACACCAAACTGTCGTTTTCTCGTGATGCATCGATAATTCTTGTATGGCATATGACTGTTCATCACTCCAGATGCGACAGTTTCGTTTATTTACATATCCGTTAAGCCAGAAATGAGCCTCATCGCTGAACACAATTTTTCGATAAAACAGCGGATTTTCATTGAGCGGTTCTAAGGCCCATTCACCAAATATTAGACGTTGTGGTAGGTCATTCGGCTTCAATTCTTGCAGAAGTTGAATTTTATAGGCTGTTTTCAAACCCAAATCAATACGTAAAATTTTTCATGTGGTTGAATAAAACATGACCAATTGTTGAGAACGGCGAATTGGCATTTCACGATCCTCATTAACACTGTACGCTATGGCTAGAATATTCTGTTCATTACGCATTTTACGCATGCGAGACAATGATTTAATATCCAACAAAGTGAACTGGGTGCGAAATTTGGTGATAACACCACGAATTGTTGATTCACCAAGTCGATTATGACGACCATAATTTCGTTGTAACAAACTATACACATTTTTCATAGAGCAGGAATTTTGATAGTAAATTTCAACAATTTGCAATCTTTGCTCGTTTGTAAGTCTTTCCATAATGAAATGGCAGAGTATACTGAAAACGTTTCACTTTGGCAGATGACGTTTGGATGCCATTACCAACCAGTGCCGCCAACCTGAAAAACATAACTCTTAAAAAAATCACCCTTTTAAGTTTTTATATTATAATTATTATTATTAATTTCATAGGTCGTGTAATGATGTCTTTCTTACCATCATTGAAACCGAGTTATTAGCTCATCATTTATTGTATTGAGACTCCAATAACAATAAGGGATTGAATATTTTCAAATTATTGATACTTAAATCTTGATTTGAATTGAACAGTAGGGTTAATAGCCGGTCTCAATGGCATAGTCGGGAGAACACCCGAGTATAGTGCGGTAGAACTCGACTTCGAGCCCCGGTGAATGGTGTGTGCGTTTGTCCAACATTTGAAGAATTTAAAAGATGGTATATGCTGGGTAATTTACAAGCGATTACAAGCCCAATTGAAGTTAGGATCCAGCCTTAAACTGTATTTGATGGGCTTAATGTTTCACGAATGTATTGATAAATAATGAAATGAAATTGATAATGTTGGATCAACATATTTCGGGCGTCCGCTCTTTGTCAAGAATGTCTTGATACTTTCGATCATTTTTCAATACATTCGTGAAACATTATACCAAAAGTTTAATTGAATTAGTATTCGATCATGTTTCACCAAGAGGTAAGCTAGAGTTCAATATCAGAATCTTAATTCTCCCGATGATGAGTTAAAAGC